CATTGGGCGTGAAAACTGTAACAACCCGAATTTTTCTACTAATACTATGAATAATTATTATTTATTTTTTGTATTTATGAAGATTATTTCCTTATAATTATTTTGATTAATTAAATGGGTTTGATTGAATTTTTAAAGGTTTTTAATAATAATCATTTATGAAAATTATTTTTTACAATATTATTAATTATGATATTTTGTTATAATTATTATTTGAAGAAAATCATGTTTTAAATTGTATTGATATTTTATTTTAATTTGATATATATATATATATATATATATGTTATTTATTTATTTATTAATTCGTAATTCTGGATTTTCATAACCCCGGAAGGGGCCGTTCCACTTTGGGAACGGGCCGTTCCAACTCGAGCTGCATGGGTAAAATTTAACCCAGAATGGGCTGTTCCACTTTAGGAACGGGCCGTTCCGGATGTGGTTTTAAAGAACAAACTATTAACTCAGAACGGGCTATTTTGGATTTGGAACGGGTCGTTCTGGGAGAGGCTTTTCTACATTTCTATGTGCCCAGAATGCGCCGTTCTGGATTCGGAACAGGCCTTTCTAGCCAAATCCTGATGCCTATAAATGCGTTCCGCCACTCCAGAAAAATGCATTTTTTTCACTTTTGATGCTTTTTCTTCTACACTTTCTGGAGACCAAGGGGAACCTGAAGGAGGAGATCCTGCTTCAATTTCAACCCCTGTTTATCGAGGTAAAGGGGGAGTGAGAAACCTCGCTCTGGGTGTGGGATTGTATGCTAGGTAGTGGGATTGGCCCCCAATCCTGTGTTTGTTGTATGTCATATTTTTCTTGTATGTTCCAATTACTTAATTAATATGTGTGTATGAATAGAAACTTTGTTTAGGCTATGATTGTGGAATTTGGTGCTCCTATGGGTTCCTACGGGAAACCCTAAGGGAGTGCATTGGTGCTTGTATGAGTAAATTAATTGTGATAATAATTATATACATCTTATTTTAAATGTTTATTGCATAAATTGGAACGCTCTATGGGTTCTTGAGAGAACCCTATGAGCAGCAGGCAAAATAGGAATATTTTTGTTTTGCCTTCTGTCTATTCCGTTATATTCCTTATTAAAAGAGATGTGTGAATGTGTGTTTAATTTTGAAAATAAACAAGTTTTGATATGAATTAGAGTGCTCTGTGGGTTCCTGTGGGAACCTATGAGAAACAGTCATATTTCTAATATTTTCTGTTGTACCTTCTGATTGTTCTGTTGTATTCCTTGTTGTACGAGATGTATGAATATATGTTTACTTTCGCAAATAGATGAGTTCTGATATGAATAAAAATGCTCTATGAAAATTGTGAATATGATGTCATAATGTGAATGTGATGATGAAATGTAATGAGGAGATGTGATGATGAAATGTGTTGAGACATGATAATGTGATATGGGAATGAGACATGATAATGTGATATGAGAATGCATAGAGTCTTGATTGACATGCATCATTTGCATAAATGTTTTAAGGGTACGATATGGAATACACCGCCAGAGAAGGCCCCCTAGTGTAAAAGCTTTGGGGATTAGTCCTTGGGGATAGCTCGGTTTGGAAGTCCCAGTCTCGCCCATTGTGTGCATGGGATGTATCTTGCGCGGCTTAGCTATCCCGACGAGACTCTGGTAGTATATCCTTCTAGTGAGAGTGCGCAGAGGGTGTGACCCGGCATGTACTCCTAGACTACTCTTCGTGTATTGCTAGCAGCAATATGCCATGTGATGTTTTACTGGCGCCACATGCATGATAATATGTAGTTCGTGTCCATGCATGTGCATTCTTATTATTAAATGATGATAAATTACTATTTGTATGACTTGGATGATTGGATAAGCTATTGTTGTTGATTGATCTATGAGGTAACTGTATTGTTTGTGTTTGGCTATCCGGTGTGCGTTCCTACACCGTAAGCCAGAGTGAGATGTTTCTCACTCCTTTCTTTTGTGTTGTTTCCCTTGTTTGATATACAGGAGACCATCAACAGCATGAGGCTGAGGATGTGGACGATGGAGCAGAGGCTTCTATGTGGGATTTTGCTCTGATAGGACATGTGACATCGGGACATTGATAGAATTAGAATATGACATCGTTTATGATTTATTAAAGTATATATTTTGGAAAATTCAATTTTTATTCTTTGTAATTTTATTTGTCAAATGCAATCTACATCGGTTCTTCAGAGAACCGATGTAGATTTAAGCATAAAAATCTACATCGGTTCTCTGAAGAACCGATGTAAATTTAAGCATAAATCTACATCGGTTCTCCAGAGAACCGATGTAGATTTATGCTTAAATCTACATCGGTTTTTCAGAACCGATGTAAAAATGTACTCCTTTTCTACGTCGCTCTATTCTACATCGGTTTTAGAACCGATGTAGATGACTTTAAAGAACCGATGTAAAATATGCATTTTGTAGTAGTGATTGCATGATTGTTAATATGGTGAAGTGTGTGGTGTTTGGCTTCATGATTGGTGGGTTGTATTTTATGCATGAGTAGTATTGGATAGAGTGTATGGTGTGACTCTATGAATATGATTGATAGTTGGATGATTGTGTAGTATAGATTATTGTTCTATACTTGTATGATTGAGTTTTTGAACTCTAGCTTACCCTTCTGTTTCTATGTGGATGGACTTGTGATGATCATACCTTATATAGGAGCAGGTCAGGGCTAGCTTGGAGTTGAGGTGACCGCTGCGAGGCGGGGAGTTTGATCCTCATTAGAGTTACCATTTTGGGTAACGGTTTTGTCTATGTTTGACCGGCACTAGGGTCATATTATTTTTAGGATGACTGTACATATATGGTGTTTTATTTTATATACAGAAACTTAGTTATTTTTATTATTGTCTATACTTGTATGTATGAGTTATTCAGCTTAATATTTCTCTTAATTCACTAGTAGTAGTGTAATTCCACTAAGTGTAGAGACCATGGCGGGTCGTTACAGGTTCTCATACTTCTAACTACCACAACTATTTTTCACCCAACTATTAAGCTAATCCTAGTGATTTGAAATAAGTTAGAACTACTCCATGCGATTACAACAAATATTAAAGGTTATAAATAAATAATATATCAAATAAATATATTTTTCCAACTTAAATAATTATAATAAAATGTATAAACATTAAACAATCATAATAAAAAAAACACATATTTTTCTCTAAATGCCTATTATAACAAAATATCATAAAAATGCACATTTTTCTAATAAATATTATACAAAACAATTTTCATAAATATTTATTATTTAATTAAAATATTTATAATTATTAAAAATCTCTAAAATATTTTATAAAAACCCTTTAATTAATCAAAATTAAAAAAAAAAAAAAAGTTAATAAACCGGTTAAACAAAATTTTCATCCAATACGAATTTGAAACCACCTATCATCAAGCAAAAACCAAAATGTCAACGATACAACCCAACGTGTATTAAACCAAAGTTGTTGCCATCAAAAGCTCTAGTCACCTAAAATCTTTCCCAAAAACCATAGAGAAAAAAATATATGAATGAAAAGCAATAAAACAGAAAAATAGAAGGAGAAGAAATAGATGCCGTCAGAGTAGAATAGGAAATGTAATAAAGAAATAAAAATGAAAAATTTGCTTTCAACAATAGTATCATCACTAAACCCTTCCGTTCTTAATTACTTTCGTTACCTAATCGGTCCAAGGACGAGATTAACATCAGGTTTTAGGTATTCTTCAAAAATAAATATTTTATATTTATATTTATATAATTTTTTCAAGATTTTATAATTTAAAAGTCACTTTTATATTCTTAAAATTCATTTTAAAAAGTCTATTTTAAAAAAATATATAAATATAATTATTTTTAAAAACATTTATTCTTTTATTAAAGATGTATCGAAAGGATCTTATCGGCCACGTGGGTCGGCCACGTGCACCGGCACGTCATGTCCTATCAAACATTGACGCAGCTTGGACACCACTTCGACTCGGTAAGGGGCCAAGGACTGTGGAGAACACCCTTTCTCCTATTGGCTCGGTCGCTCCCTATCGGCTCGGCCAAGGATCAACAGGGAATAATTAGGACAATAATCACAGTTAACAAAGGACAACACGCAATTAAGGCATAACCAGCCGATTAACATCGTATTACCTAATTTGGTAAATGTCAGAGAAGGCCCGCCATGCTCAGACCCATGACAGGTAGTATAAATAAGTCACACGAAACGAGGTATGCCACTGTTCAATTATTACTCTTGAGAATTATGCTTGTCCTGACTTGAGCGTCGGAGTGCCTTTTGCAGGTACCTCCCCCCTCTGAAGCATCCAATTGAAGCTCTCATTCGACTCTTTACCTACCAGAAGATTACGAGTGTGCCCTCAGACAAGTACATTTTGGCGCCCACTGTGGGGACGAACTGAGAGACTTAAGAAGACACTGAGTGAGCATCATGGCGAAGACAAGAAGAACAAACAATGAAGACCACCAATCCGAGGATGAGCACCGATCCGAAGCAGACAATGCCGAGACGGTTGACGAGACCAACATGGCCGAGATGGTACGGCAAATGAGGGAGGAAATGGCTGCCATGAAGCAACAACGAGAGAAAGACACTCGTGAGATGGCCGCCTTGAAGGAAGAGAACGCCGCCCTAAAAAACCAAAACCAGGATCCCACGTGGAAACCCTCCGAGCTGACTCACACTCAGGGGTCGTTCCACTCGCTCAAACATCATACTTCTCTCCCTCACACTTCTGTTGTCGCCCCGGGAAACCACGCCTCGGCTGCCCAAGTAACCGGCCGACCCGCATATGCTCCGCCGACCGAAGCACACCGACACCCTTTCACCCCAAACATCATGCAATCCTCCCTCCTCGACCACTAGAAGTCCCTCCCGTTAGACAAGTATGACGGAACCACCGACCCCGACGAGCATGTCGACATCTTTTTGACCCAAGTCACCCTCAACACTACCGACGACGCCGCCTTATGCCGAATTTTTCCAACATCGTTGAAAGGTCGAGCATTGAGCTGGTTCACACGACTCCCGGCCAACTCAGTCGACTCCTTCAACACTTTGGCATCTCAATTCACTATCCAATTTGCAAGGAGCTGACCACACCAACTGACTTCTTTGGCCTTATAAGCATTCGGCAAGAGAAGAAAGAGTCCCTTCGAACATTCATGAGTCGATTCAACAAGGCGGCACTCGAAATCCGAGACTTGAATCCTGTTGTGGCTCTCCATCACCTCACTACCGCCCTGAAACCGAGACCTTTTGCCAACAGCATTTGCAAGAAACCACCAACCGACATGGATGACTTGCGTTGGTGCGCCGATAAGTACATGCAGATGGAGGAACTTGCGGAGTTTCGCAATCAGGTCAGGGCCGAGGTAGCGGCTAAGGTAGCGAAGCTGGCCGAAAGCTCTTTCCGTAGCCGCCCCAAGGATCTCGTTCCCTTTTTCTGCTCACGGGCCGAGATACTCTCATTACACTCCATTAAACACTAGTCGATCATCTGTCTTGGATCAGGCACTTGCGTCGGAGGTCCTAACAGTGCCGAAGCGAGCCTCGACACCTCGTTCCAACACAACCAAATCCTGCAAGTATCATCGAAACCGCGGCCACTCGACCGAGGAGTGCGCGGCTTTGAGAGATAAAATTGAAGACCTAATCAAACAGGGGCAGCTCCAACGCTTTGTCAACCGACCTCGTTCTCCTGGATATCATGATCGCCGACATCGTCGAGATCAGCCTGACCAAGACAGGTCCGACAGGTGTTCCTATAGGGAACGGAGCCGGTCGCGAGGCCGAAAGGAAGATGAGCCGACAACCCAGCCCCAAAGAGTCATCAACACTATTGCTGGTGGATTTGCAGGCGGCGGTTCCACCTCTTCAGCCCAAAAAAGACACTTGTCAGCCGTCCGAGCTGTACATGTGATTGAACGCACTCAGAAAAGGTTGTCGGCCATCACATTCACTGAAGCTGACTTTAAAGGCATTGTTCCAGATCAAGACGATCCAATGGTCATTAGTGTTGAAATCCATAACTGCATCGTTTGGAAAACATTGGTCGATCAGGGAAGCTCGGCCGACATACTCTATTGGAATACGTTCAAACAACTCGGCATACTAGAAGCCGAACTGGTCCCATACAACGAACCCTTGGTCGGATTCTCCGGTGAGCGCGTCCAAACAAAAGGGTACATCAAGCTATCTACACGCTTCTGTTTCGATGGAGCCGAAACTAGAAGCATCTCGGTGAAATACGTGGTGGTACATGCCAACACGTCGTATAATATTCTCCTTGGAAGGCCATCCTTGAACAAGCTAGGTGCAATTGTGTCGACTCCGCACCTGGCGATGAAGTTCCCATCTGAATCGGGATGAATAATCATAGTTCACGCCCAGAAGGCGGCGAGAGAATGCTATTTTGCTAGCCTTCGCTTACCCCGCCTTGAAGAAACAGAACCACAAAAGCTCAAGCGTGTACATATGGTAGCCTGAGAACTCGATTCCCTAGTTGTGGACTTCGACCCTCGTATGGAACAGGTTGAAAGAGTTGAGCTGACCGAAGATAAGCAACCATTCGTCATTGGGCCAACAGACTCCCATGTAACATACCTGGGATCTAACTTATCTGATCAAGCTAAATGCCAAATACAACAAGTAGTCAGAAAGAAAAAAAGACCTCTTCGCATGGCGACCGGCCGACATGCCAAGAATTGATCCAAACTTCTTATGCCACAAGCTCTCGGTTTGCCGAGAGGCAAAACCGATCGCCCAACGAAAGAGGAAAACGGGGGAAGAGAGAAAACAAGCAATAGAGGATGAGGTCTCTAAGCTCCTAAATTCGGGGTTTATCCGGGAAGTCCATTACACTACATGGCTGGCCAATGTGGTGATGGTCAATAAGTCAAACGGCAAGTGGCGGATGTGCACGGACTACACTGACTTGAACAAGGCATGTCCGAAAGACGCGTATCCTCTGCCGGACATCGACCGGCTCGTCGATGGTGCGGCCGGTCACAATTTTTTGTCATTCCTCGACGCTTATTCCGAATATAACCATATTCAAATGCACACCCGAGACGAGGACAAGACGACATTCGTCACCGAATCAGCCAACTACTGTTACCATGTGATGCCGTTCGGACTAAAAAATGTTGGAGCCACCTATCAGAGACTCATGGATAAGATCTTCCATAAACAAATAGGCAAAAACATGGAGGTATATGTAGACGACATGGTCGTGAAATAGGCCGATCTTCCTTCTCACAAAGCCGACCTGGCTGATGTCTTTCATGCACTGCGGAAACATCAAATGCGCCTAAATTTGGACAAGTGTGTATTCGGTGTCATAGGCGGTAAATTCCTTGGTTTCATGTTATCAAGCCGAGGTATCGAAGCAAACCCGGACAAATGCCAGGCCATCATAGATATGAGAAGTCCAACAAACTTAAAAGAGGTCCAAAAACTGGCGGGTCGATTGACATCCTTGTCGAGCATCCTACCATGTATGGCTGAAACCTCCAAACCGATAGTAGCCCTCCTGAAAAAAGCAAATCGATTTCACTAGACAGATGAATGTGAAGTCTTCTTTCAACTGTTCAAAAAACGACTCGGCACCCTGCCCGTAGTGGCCAAGCCGATACCTGGCCGAGAAGTAGTCGTGTACTTGGCGGTATCTGGCGAATCCATCAGTGCCGTCATGATACAAAAAGAGAGCGGCCAACAACAACCCATATATTTTATCAGCCGAGTGCTGCAAGATGATGAACGTCGATACTAGCTCTTGGAAAAAGTGGCATTGGGGCTCATATACACGGCTCGGCGACTTCGGCAATACTTCCAAAGCCACACGGTGGTAGTTCGAACCGATTGCCCAGTTGCCAAAGTTCTTAGAAAGCCAGAATTAGCCGGTCGAATGATGGCATGGTCAATCGAACTGTCCGAGTTTGATATTCGCTTCAAGCCGTGGGGCACCCTCAAATCACAATGCTTGGTCGATTTTCTAAATGAACTGTCCCCACCCGGCCACTTCGAGGACGATACCTGGACCATGCGCATTGATGGCTCTTCCAACAGACAAGGTAGCGGCGCCGGCATCATCTTAGAGAGCCCGTCCGGCATCACCTTGGAACAATCTCTACGCTTTGGCCTCCAGGCATCCAACAACCAGGCCAAATATGAAGCTTTGTTAGCCAAAATGAGGTTGGCAACCGAAATGGGTGTCAAGAAGATCATATACTGGACCGATTCAAAGGTCGTCACAGAACAAGTGAACGACAACTTCCAAGTCAAAGACCCTCATTTCCTCAACTATTATCATCTTTTTCGGGGAATGAGCAATCAGTTCACAAAGATCCAAGTCAAGCATACGCCAAGGGGAAACAACGATCGAGCTGACCAGTTGGCATGACTAGCAAGTAGTCGAAAGCCGGGACAACTCCGGACGAAGATACACCTGGAATTGTCTACGCTAAGTGTCACACAAGAATGTATACCCGTAGACGAAGCTCCGAAATCGTGGATGAATGACATTTTGCAAATCATTGTGAACGGCTTGGAGCCGGACGATTCGATCGAATCCAAGAAGCTGAGGACGCAAGCCGCTCGATACTCCGTCGTGAACGGAGAACTATACAGAAGGGGATTTTCTGCCCCCTTATTAAAATGTCTCGACTCACAACAAGCCGATTACGTCGTCCGAGAGATCCATGAAGGTATCTGTGGATCCCACTCGGGAGGAAGGACACTAGCCACCAAAGTACTTAGAGCCGGTTACTACTAGCTGACTCTGAAATCTGACTGTGCCAAATTTGTTAAAAAGTGTGTTCAGTGCCAAAAACATGGGAATCTCATCCACTCCTCAGCCCCCAAATTGCACAATATCAGCTCCCCTTGGTCGTTCACTTTATGGGGCATAGACATACTTGGGCCGTTTGCTGTGGAAAAAGGGCAGGTCAAGTTCTTAATAGTAGCAGTAGATTATTTCACTAAGTGGATAGAGGCCGAGCCACTTGCTACTATCAATGCCACTAAAGTTCAGAAGTTCGTATGGAAAAACATCATCACCCGGTTCAGCCTTCCACACACAATTATCTCGGACAACGGACTTCAATTTACAGATAAAAAGTTTAACACTTTCCTCGAGAACCTCAGCATTCGGCACTGATTCACGTTGGTGGAACACCCGCAGTCCAACGGACAGGCCGAAGCAGCCAACAAAGTCATCCTTACCGAACTGAAGAAACGGATCGGCACAGCCAAAGGAGCCTGGGCCGAAGAGCTCCCTGGAGTCCTCTGGGCGTATAGATGCACGCCCTAATCAAGCACAAAAGAGACCCCATTCCGATTGGCATACGACAAGGATTCCATGATACAGGTCGAAGTGGGCGAACCTTCATTCCGACGGATGCACTTTCACAAAGAGTCCAACGACGGCACAATCCGAGCCGAACTGGACATCTTAGATGAAGTCCAAGAGAAAGCACAAATCGTAGCCGAAGCGTGTAAACAGAGAATGACTCGGTGATTTAACTCCAAGTTGAAGCCGAGAAACTTCCAAGAAGGTGATCTTGTTTGGAAGGCAACCGGTTCGGCACGGCGCAACTCAAATGAAGGGAAGTTGGCGGCAAACTAGGACGGCCCATTCCGAGTCCGACACGCTCTCAATAACGACGCGTACAAATTAGAAGAATTGTCAGGCAAGGTCATCCCTCGGACATGGAATTCTACCCATCTGAAGACTTATTATAGTTAGAATGATTCATGTACATGTGTAAATGTCTTACGATGCACTCTTTTCCTTGAACCGGTCTTTTTTCCTCTTAAAAAATTATGAAAAGAGATTTTTGGCTGGCAAGGTTTTTAACGAGGCATCCACTTATTAATGACAATACAATTCAGTTATTTATGACTCATTTTACATTTTTGCAAAAAATTTTAAGTCTTCCCTCCCGAGATTCCTCTCGGTCAAGGATGTGGCTTTAATTATTCTACAAGTCTTCCCTCCCGAGATTCCTCTCGGCCAAGGATGTGGCTTTCATTATTTTACAAGTCTTCCCTCCCGAAAACCCTCTCGGCCAAGGATGCGGCTTAACTACAACTCTTCCCTCCCGAGATTCTTCTCGGCCAAGGATGCGGCTTTCATTATTTTACAAGTTTTCCCTCCCGAGAACCCTCTCGGCCAAGGATGCGGCTTACGATGCTTACAAGTCTTCCCTCCCGAGAACCCTCTCGGCCAAGGATGCGGCTTATTAACTACAAGTCTTCCCTCTCGAGATTCCTCTCGGCCAAGGATGTGGCTTTAATTATTTTACAAGTCTTCCCTCCCGAGATTCCTCTCGGCCAAGGATGTGGCTTTCCTTATTTTACAAGTCTTTCCTCCCGAGATTCTTCTCGACCCAGACGTGACACGTTCTTATAACTTAAAACTACACTCGGCACAACTTGATTCGTTACATTAATGTTAAATTGGAGTACGCAGTATTTGACAAAAACAAAAGCAGAATTGCATTGAAAAAGGGCTCTATCGGCCCGAAATTACAAGAAGTTAGAAGGCTCTATCGGCCCCTGCATACAAATTCAAAAAATAAAAATAAAAAAGGGTTCTACGCCTCGGGCTCCCCTTGCACCGGCGCCTCTTCCTCGGCAGCTTCTTCCTCGACCACTGTTTCCACGCCATCGGTCGGCCCGGCCGGGAGATGAATTGGTGCTTCGGCATCAGGCTGTTCAATCAGGGGAATTTGCATCAAGTTGACATATTTCCCCGATAGAAGTCCATCGACATATTAAATTGAAAGTCCAAAGGGAGGCTTCCAAAATGTTGGGCCTGACGTGCCGCTTGTGCGAAGCCGGCCTCATGCTGAGAGAGTACCTTGCTCCTAGCCCTCTTTCTATATGCGTCAAAAGCCTTCTTCTCGGCCTCCAAATCCCCAGCCAGCTTGGCCGACTTCTCAGCCTCGGCCTTCAAAGAATTTCCAGCCGTTGCACCTTTAAAGTCAGGTCATCGTTCAGACGGCCCCGACGGTCTAGCTCAGCCTCATATTTTTTGCTGTGTCCCTAGGCCTCGGACAGAGTAGTCAGAGCCTCTTGTACGGACTGCTCCGACTCGATGAGTTTTCAGCGCAGCTCCTCAGCCTCGGCGCTCGGCTGCATCATAAGATTCTCAGCTAAGGCCAAGGAGCGAGCTTATAACTCGTAGAAGAAGGTCCATTTATGGGCCGAGCTCATTTTCCCCAACATTGCCTGACCCACCTCCGAGGTTAGGTCTTGACTTAGATAATCTTGAGCACTCACGCCCGAGGCCAAGAAGTTTGGGCTTACCAATCCCTGTGGAGCCACGAGCGCTGGCAACCTTTGTTGCTTCTGCCTCCGTGACTCGG